ACCTTGCATATAATCATCCCTCATGAATAGGTTAGTAGTTGATTCCCACCCAGCTCTGAGCCAGTCCATGCCTGGATTTCAAGTGTTTCTTGTAGTTTCAAGTGTTTACAATAGTTTTAGAGTTTCTTATTATGGCCAGGTTACATTATGAGTTTGAATAGGATTTTTCTTTCCATCCCACCTATATCATAAGCCCTTCAGTTTATGTAATTACTTGTCTCTGGCGTTCTCCCTCTGGAAATGGCTTTGTTCTGGGTCAGCTGGGCTAAGCTAAAAAATATTTCCCATAATTTTCTTCCTTGTGTGGTTCCAGATGAGAACCGGCCCCAAGAAAAATCTGCAAGAGATGGGGAAGACAGAGGGAGCAGAAGCACCTTCCTGCAGATTGTTGGAGGGTGCCAGGCAGCTCCCCTTACCTCATGCTGATCTAATGGCTCATTCTGTTGGCAAGTGGAATGTCCTGGGTCTGTGTCCCTTTAGCTCCCACGCAATCTCCTCTTTCAGACTCTCTGAATCTCAAGCTTGCTGTGTGTGCAGTTTCTTAGAGATGGCATAAGCTCCTGCAGGTCTGCTACCTCATTGAAACTGGAGGCATAGACAGATGTGGGTCTTACTCTATCCTCACTGGTTCCAGTTTCCCTATGACTCCAGGTGTGGGCTCTCCTCCACCTCAGTTCTAGTGTTCCTTCCTTATTTGCAGAACTGCCGTGACTTTAGCCCTCACCAGAGGCAAAGGCAACTTCCTATAATTGACTCCTCCTCCAGCTCCCATGGTTGTGCACATTCTTTGCTATATTACCCAGAGTGGCTCTGCTTCTCTAATTAAACCCTTTCTGATACATCCCTCTTCCTTGGGTCCCCAGGCTAGGATGCCCTTAGTTATTGGATACCCACTAAAATTTGTTCATGGTAATTGGGCAAAGTCACTGTCAAAGCAAGAAGAAATTTAGGACTGATGATCCTCTCATACGCTCTCTCTTTCCTCCACTAAGACTATTCCTTTCAGAGTCAAGAGCTAGATCCATCTGACTTGCAGTGAAACCCAGCTGAAGAAATCTCAGAGATATTCAAGTCCCCACTTGCCCAAGCAAACTCGGGCTGAACTCATCTCTGACATCACTGCTTTGGGTGGTTGTGTGGCCACCCTGACTCCTTTCCACATATTCTCAGATGTCACTGGCCTCCAGGACACCTGTACATGGAACTGGGCTTGTGAACAATTGAAGGCCAACTGAAGCACAGGATTACTTAAATACTGTGATCCAAGGGACTCTGAAGACAGTTGTTGAAAAAGTGTTGACCTTCAACCAGGTGTTTTAAAGCTTGAAATGTTACCACAACAGCATCATTCCTTTGGATTATTCTTCCTGACGTTTGTTACTAAGATGACAATATACCTTTGATGAAGGATCATTTGCAGAACATGGTTTCTGCAATCAGATAGTTCTGAACTCAAGTTCCATTTACCATACCTCTGAGACTACAATAAAATATAATTATTCACTCTCTTCCAGTTGTGGTCTTCTTGCCTATTAAGATAGGGAAATGATATTCAATCTGGTATCCAAGGCAACAAATGTGAAAGTAACTGGGTCAACACCTGGCACATAGGTGACCCTGGGGAAATGCTAGAGTCACTCATGATTTCCTTTTCTCAAACTGAGTAATGCATTGGGATTCCTAGTAAGGTGCTGGGTGGCATCTTCATTGCCTTCTCATTGGGATCTCGTGGGTGGCTGAGTGGGCGAGAGTCTGCTATAAATGTGCATGTGTGTTTTGGTAGGTTGGGAATGGAGGGAAAGAAGGAAAGGCAGAGAGCATTAACAGTTCGTTTTAGGAGAGTGCAAAGGTCATCAGGAGAGGAGATGATTAAGTTTGGAAAAACTGGTTTATTTCTATTCACCTTTCACATCTTCCATTGCCACTATCCTAATTCAATTTGCCTTCTCTCATATGGATTCCTCCAATAATCTTACCTGATTATTTTTAAATTTTAATTGACACATAATAATTGTACATATTTATGGGGGGTACAGTGTGATATTTCAGTTCATGTATTCAAAGTGTGATGATCAAATCAGAGCAATTAGCATGTTCATTACCTCAAACATTTATTATTTCTCTGTGTTACCTGGTTCTTTGGATTCTGATCTCATCTCTTTTTTAGTTGATTCCTTTTTGGAAGCCAATGATCTTTTCAAAATGTAGATCCAATCTTACTCAACCCTATGACCATTCCCATTATACTTGGCATTTGATCAAAACCCTAATTCACGTCTGGAAAGTGCTCCACACACTGGTCTCTGACCTCCTCTCTCAGCTTCATTGCTCTCCTCTCTTCCCTCTGTCCCTCACTACATTTGAGTCACATTAGAATCCTCCCAGCTCCTTGGACTCATGAGCTCAAGGCCTTACCCATGCCCTCTCCTCAACACATACACATACCCCTGCTTTTCATATGTCCCCACTCACATTTCCTTCTTCTGGCTGACTCCTACCAACCTTCACATCTTTGTTCACATGTGAGTTCTTCAGAGACTTTTCTGAGCTCACAAACAAAAGTCAGGCTCCCCTCTTATTCTTCCTCATAGATCTCCCTGTATGGTTTTCTCCTTATAGCCCATCACATTTCAAAATTATAGAATTTTGTGTGTAGTTTCCTTCTGAAGTGTTGCCTCCCTTACTGAGTGGGTACAGGGCAGTCCATTCCAATTGTACCATCACCAGCAATGCCCAGTATGCTCAGCCCCGGTGATGCTGGTCAGTGATAAATGAGTGCATGCTCCAAAATAGAACCCTGGGTCCAGTCCATCTGTAGGAATTCACATTTTGTTTCCTGACAGAGGAGTCAAAGTTATTGACTTTGTGTCTTACAAAAAAGCCTTCCAGAAAACACCTTATTTTTTTTGTCATCCAGAAAGAGAATAAACTAAAAAGAGATAAGATCAGAATCAGCAGAACCAGATTAAACAGAAATTACAAATTTTGAGGTGATAGATATGCTAATTACCCTGATATAATCATTACACATTGTATACATGTATGAAAACATCACACTGTACCTTGCAAATATATACAATTCTGTGTGTTCACCTCTTAATTGTTTTGTTTGTTTTCTACTTGTTCTCTTGAATTAAAGCATCACTTACACAGAGAAAACTGTACAAATGTTAAATGTGCAGATGGTGAGTTTTTCACATGCACATACCCATGGAATTATCCCTCCAAACAAAATCTAGAATAGTTGAGCATCTGGCAGGCGCCTTTGTAGCCTTCCAGTTCCACGACCCCCAACTCCATTCCAGACAAGAGAAACACTCTTCTCATCTCCTTCTCCATAGACCAGTTCTGGCTGCTTCAAAATCTCATAGAAATGAGACTGTATGGTGCATTTGATTTGGTGTCTGGCTTCTTCTTTTCAACATGTTTTGAGATCCATTCAGGTTGTGTATAGTAAGAATTTTTTGGGGGGGTTTTGGCTTAATTTTGATTAATATTTCACTGAATCTATGCACTATAATTTGTCCATCTTAATATCATTGGACAATTAGTTGTTTTCAAGTGTGGGCAGTTATGAGAATTTATGTACATGTCTTTTGGTGGACATGTCTTTGGGTACAGAGGTAGGAGTAGAGTTGGCACATCTCAGCTGAATTTACACCCGAGGTAAGTTAGGGGTGGTTATCCACATGTAATCGTCTATTTGCTGGTAGGGATGCTTCATACAGATTTTCTTTAAATGCACTTCAGGGGTTGGTGTCAAGGTCATTGAATTATTTGATACTGAGCCTATGGCAATGACAGGCCAGAACAATTTACAATCATCATCTGAAGAGGTTCTGCCATTGACACTTACTCAGGAACCATGATAATTCATCCCTAAAATATTAATCAAGAAAACATCACTTTATTTGTTTAAATCATTGATTTATTATTTCCAGGACACATTTTTCCAATTACAATAATCCTCAGGTAATTGGTTTGGCTATTCCTATAAATTGTTGCAGTTATTCCTGGTCTATCATTTATTCTCTGATTTATACTATCACCAATAGTAATATTGACTCTTTCATATCCCAATCATGGAGGCCTTTCTGAACTAAACTATGTAGTGACATTTTTCCTTTCTTATGGGAACAAATAGAGTTCAATACACGGTGACCCTTAAATAACATTCATCAATTCTGTGTGCCTTTTTCTCAAAGATGAATTTATACTGAAGGAGGAAAAATGTAATCCCTGCAGAATTTTTTGCTAAAAGCGTCCTCATCTAGAAAGAATGATCACTTGTTGTTTTCAAGTTCCTATTGGAGAATTCATAAACATTTGTGCTATATGAGGCAAGAAAGACCCCATTCCTGCCCCAGGAAAGGTGATGCAGTTAAGTCTTCCATGGAACTCCAGAGGTTTATCATCTTGGAAGGTTGTGACTCCCCAGACAGAGGAGAATGGACCCTTCTGCACAGAGAAGGAAGCATGTGAGAAGAACCACCATCAGGCTTTGAGCAGGAATGCAGACACACCTGCATTGTTTGGTTTGTGTGCTAAATCATCCTTCTCATTATGATGAGAAGTACCCTGAGAAAGGAAAGGGGCCATCACATTTGCCTAAATTCTGAAACAGAATTAAGTGACCTTCTTTAATTCTCCTGAAATATCTACCAAGTACATATCACCACCATTCCCTAAATAAAAATCTGGAAACTGAAACTCAATGAATTTGAGTATTTTGCCTGCAGTCACCCAGCTTTGAACTTGGGAGTGGAGATTTGAACCCAAGCCCCACGGCCTCCAAAAGGGTCTGGGGAAGAGTAGTTTCCAACACAGGGCGACACCTCGCCTCCTACACACCACCTTGTTAAGCTCATCTGTAAATATCAAGAAGTACACCTTTACCACAGGAGGAGATGAAACAAATAAATAAGGGGGAGGAGGAAATGGAAAATCAAACTCCCACTGGGGTCTGGCTATTAACATGTCTGTCCTGTTCCTACACTCAGATAGGCCTGACTCTGAGACTGCCACGAAGAGGAACCAAAAATGACCATGAATTGAAACTCCTCCATAGGAAGGTGAGCTCAAGAGACCACAACCCTGCGAGGGCTGCAGCACTTCGTCACGGCTCCTTCCAGCTGGCTGCTGGGAGGATGCTGGGTAGGTGGTTTCTTGTTCTTATGAGCTACCTGACTGCCAAGGCCTTCCATCAGGGGTTTGTTTTGAGGTACTGACTGTGGAAGAGAATCCCAGGTGAAAGGAACATGGGGAGGGATTTCAGTTCAGCCAAGCCCTCATCTCCTTTACCTCATCTCCGATTGGTTCTCCTTTTTACTGGCTTTTTTGCTGCGCCACAAACATGCCAAGTATCTACTACCTCAGGACCTTTGCATGTGTCCTTTCCTTCAACTGGAATCTTTTCCCCTAGATACTTCATGGCTTGCTTCTTCTCCTCTCCTCTCTCATGCTTTTCCACAAATGACCCTTTTGCAGTGAGACCTTCCATAATATCCTTTCCAGTGACAATACATGCGCTCATACACGTTCCTTCCCCACTTCCTTGATTGATTTTCCCCCTAGCACAGTCACCATATAATCTGCTCTACATTTATTGTCTTCTCTTGTCTTTGACTGTCCTCTCACTTGAGGGTAAGGATTTGTCTGTTTGGCTCCCCTAATTTTCCTGCACCAAGAACAACATGCAGCTGGAACTCAATAAGTACACTGAACAAATAATGCAAAAAGAGAAGATGAAGAAGAAGGAGGAGGAGGAGGAGGAGTAGGAGGAGAAGGAGGAGGAGAATCAGCTCCGCCATTTACTGAGCAGGCAACCTTTAGCAAATTAATTATTTTTGTTAAGCTTCATTTCTGCAATTGAAAAATTGAGATGGTAATCCCCCCCCCGCCCCTTGTGAGTTTTTCATAAGATTATAAATATACACACTCAGCACAATACTTGCATGAACTCAGTAAGAGTGGGCTTAATGATTTACATTGTGAATCAATAAAAGAAATGAAATTACAATAGCAAAATTTGTAGACTATTTCCTATGGGCCAGGCCTCACACTAGGCATTTCCCCTTAACAACACTCTTTAAGGTGTATACTATGATTACCATCACCCTTGTTTTAGGACTGGTGCAACTGAGTGGTAACTTGCCAGAGGCCACATGAGGAGGAATCAGAGACTGGATTTGAAGTCAGACCCATCTTTCTCCAAAGCCTGTATCTTAACCACTATACCATCCTACCTCCGTGGAGCAAGGAGGCACAATTCATGTAATACCAGCCTGGGAGAATCTGTGTAAGTAGTGAAAACTCCTATTCACAATTTTTAGTTTTTAAACTAGTGAGATCCTTTGTGGATCAAACACAGGGATGATTCAATTTCTAAACTGATCTAGATCTTCATCTAGAGGCCAAGTTGTATTGATGAACTCAAGCCCTGAAATATTTTTGGCCATGAAATATTACCATAGAGGAGATATTTAGAAAGTGTTTTATTTAGTCACACTTTGTATGAACATGCATATGTATACCATTTTTAAACAGAAAGCAGTGTCATTTAGTTTCCAAAGTTGAGTGGAAACAAAAACCTGGGCTGTGTAGACACACCCTATACAAAGCACCTGCTTTTGAGGCGGCTTCATATATTATTATCCTGTTTTTCTCATGAATTGTCTTCTACTGCTTGTGCACTCCTGTGCACCTAGTATATCTCATAACCAGCAGTCTTTCATAGTCTATTTTAAGTTTGATCGTTAAAGTGTGAAGTTTTGTTCATGAACGAGCTCAGCGAGGCCACGTCTTCTCCATTCATGGTGCTTGTTCTACGAGCCACTGCACACTCAAAGGGGAGGCACACACAGACTTTCCAAATCATCTTTAAAGGTTTTCAGTTCCCTTTTTTCTTTTTTTGGTGTCTATTGCCTTCCCAGTAATGGCTAAGACATTGCCAGTTTGTCTTGCTTCTTCTTTTGATTTCTCCAGAAGGCCTTATGGCCTTCAGTTGGGACCAGGTTCTAAATTCCCCTGGGTTTAATTTGGCTCTTTTTCTTGCAAGGAACAAAAGCCTATTCAAGCCAACTCAAGACAAAGGGCTTTTGCTTATTATACCATGTCACGTTATTTTTTTAAATGATAAAGGACTGTTCATGGAAATCCAAGAGCAGGCGTCCTATGAAATCTTGGCCTTAAGGAGCCCAGAACTTAAAGGTGGTTCCAAGCTGGGTGCTGTTGTACATGCCTATAATCCCAGTGGCTCAGGAAGTTGAGGCAGGAGGATTGTGAGTTCAAAGCCAGCCTCAGCAATTTAGTGAGGCGCTAAGCAACTCAGTGAGACCCTGGCTCTGAAAAAATATATTAAAAAAGGGATGGGGATATGGTTCAGTGGTTAAGTGCCCCTGAGTTCAATCCTCAGTACCAAAAAAAAAAAAAAAAAGATGGTTCCAGACTATAGGCCTTCAGCAGAAGGTATTCATGGATTAGTGATTTCTATGGTTAAGCAACATCCCACCTGTTTCTTCTTCTGGTCCTGGAAATAATTGATGGTTATTTGTTTGTTTTAAGTTCAGGGACCCAAGAAGGGATCTAATTGGTCCATTTCATCTTTCAGCTTTTGGACCTTTTGCCATTGGCTCAGATGCCCAGGCTAGGCCCAATCATGCATGACTTCCTGGGCCTGTCCCTTCAACCGAAATCACTGGCAGGGTGGATCCCCTCAGAAAGGCTGTGGGTGGGTTGGCACAGCGTTGACCTTTTCAGAATACCATCTTGGCAGACACTGATGTGCATGCCAAGTCATATAGTGGTATTTCAAGGTAAGATGATATTATATTGATACAGACACAAGTGCAACTCAGAAATACATCTGCAAAGTTGCGTGCATGTGTCTCTGTGATTGGTGTGCTTCAAACATAAAACAAATTTGATTATTTCTTCATGATCCATTTTATCTAAATATGTGTTCTATTGTCTGATAAGCCCAACTATCAACATCTCATGACTTCCTCAGGCAGGGCTTCCCAACCTTGGTAAGCTGAGCACTCTGAGCACAATTCCAGCCAATGCCATCAGTAGAGATTTCAAAGTGATAACTAACCCAAAGCTGCATTAACCTTTGCAGCTCCCATCAGTTGAGGTTTTGTTGTGACTAAGCTGCTCAAAACCTTGATGCTTTAAACGCAGGTAGGATAGATATCTATATGACTTCTGAGGTCCCTCATGTCAAATAAATCATACCCATTGTGTTGGTGACCTCTTTTCTGAGGACTGGCTCACTTCCATCCCAGACTTTGAAGAATAAGGGACATTTGATTGGGATATATTTTAAACATTTATTTTTTTATTTTATTTAGTTATAGATGGACATAAACCTCTTATTTGTATGTGGTGCTGAGGATGGAACCCAGTGCCTCACACATGTAAGACAAGTGCTCTACCACTGAGCCACAACCACAGCCCCTTGGTGGGGATATTTTGATCAGAGTGAGAATGTTAAGGTGCAGGGTTGAGATCCAAGTCTGTATGTGCTGCTGTGATGGGTGGGCAGGTTGTAGTGGTATGTGTTGCAAGTGGCCAATGTAAAGGCAGAGAGTGTGACAAAATAGGCCTGTGTTACAATTCTCGTGAACCAAACCCCCTAGACAAAGACTAAATCCTTGGGTTCAAGAATTGTCTGAAGACAATTCAACACCTGCTGCAGGCATCATGACCTGCATTTATAGCAACCACGCTCTCTTTTTCTGAGCCCCAAGCAGAAGACTGTCTTTCTTGTCACTGGAGGTTGACAGCACTCTGGCACTTTACCTATGCCCCATGTTGCTTTCTACCTGTATTTTAAAATCTGAACCATAACATGAAACAAAAATCAATTATTAAAATGAGGGTGGGGCAGATTGGTACCTAATTCCCTCTTCTCTTTGAGTGGAAATTTCTAAGACAAAGTAAATGTCCGATTCATTCTGATATTTTGGCTATGCCTTGGGACATTTAACAAATATTTGTTGGATGAATGAGGGTGAGAACCTAAATTCCTTTTGAGTCACCAAATGGATCATGATGCATGTTGTCATGTGCATGGTGGCAGGATTTGGAGCAGGAGGAGTGTCTGAGATGGATCATTGCCCATTGAAGCTAAAATCCCTGTCCTGTTCTTTAAAAGTGTTAAAATGTCTCTGATGCAGTTACTGTAGAAACACCATCAGGATACCTTGTAACATGGGGAGGGGTGGATAGGCACCACTGACTACCATGGAAAAGGAAGAATTCTTAGGGGCAGATTAGAAAAGTTCTTTGAGGGCAGAGAAGGAGGAGGCAAAAGAGAAGCCTGCAAAGAGAAGGATCCTCAGGAGGAGCCTACCGTGTGCCAGGCTCTCCTATAAGTACTTTACATCCATTAACCCATTCCACACTCACAGCAGCCCTAGGTGGAAGGTGCTCTTACCCATTTTACAGATGAGTCTGGGCAGAATGGGGCAGATGTATTCCTCTGGACCTCTGGACTCCTTTCTCACTGGGTTTTCCTTTTTCACTTGCTTTCACCCCCCACCCCCTTCCCAGGACACCTTGCATGGCCAAGATGAGGCAGTGATTGCTTCTGGTTTCATGCTGGGTGTCCATTTTGGCTCCATACTGGCCTCTCTGAAGCCACGGTTATTAATAGTCTTCAAAACAGAGTGTTGGAAAGATGGACGAATCAATTTCCGGCTGATATTCATTATGCTCCTGAAAGCATAATGCTGGTGCAATATTTTTCAAAACAAAACAAAACCCTCCTTCACAGGTGTGAGAATAGAGAGAGACAAGGTGACGGAAGAGGTCAGACGGCCCCATCCTGCCTCCGCTGGATCTAGTAACTTCTGTGCCAGCTTGACTGACCTATTTTTCAATGTGTCAGATGAAGTTCACTGCCTGGAATCTGCTCTGACTGTCAAAGATGCTCCTTTAAAACCTCCCATATTATTTATTTGGCAAAACAATTCCTACTTCCCTGGAGGGTCCCTTTGTTCCACACCTGTTTTTATCGTGGATGTTTTGGTTTGACAATAAAGAAAACCTTCTCTCTAGTAGCTGGAGAACATGTCTAAGACAAAGAAGTTTAGTCAATGGCAGGAAGGTCTGGTTTATTTCTAACAGACTGAAAAAAAATTACTCTTCCAGGAATTTAGGTACCCTCTGTCCAAACTGCCCACAGAAGAGCAGAGATTACACAATTCTTCAGATATTTTTAATATATTTAGCCAAAGTGGATAATTGAGGTGGCATCCAGAATTCTGGTTAAGTATTTCACAATATTATGACTTTATCCTTGTGTCCACATGCCTGCAAAAGTCTGGTATACATTGGCACTCAATAATTACTTGTGGAATGAATGAATGAATGAATGAATATAAAAAGTCTAGCAAGGTATCAATCATAAATGTTGAAAGTAATTACTATCTCTTTAAATAGCTGCATGTTCTAGTTTCTATTATAAATATGTATTAGTTTTATAATAATAGTTTTAAAATGTAACCTCAAATTTCCAGGAAATTACTGATTTGGAGCTAAAATGAGGGCAAAGACAGGGGTTTTGTCCCATTTATTATGGCCAAGATCAGCTCTATTGCGTGTTGTATGCTATAGTCCTTAAGGGTAAGTTTCTGGAAGACTGGGACTTTTCAGAATCTGGATCAAGGCAATACTTTCTAGTCAATGGGGGAAGAAACTACTTTGTTCTCTAAGCACAGGGCTTTTCAGGATCACAAGATCCTAGAGGGCTCTTTGACTAATTAGTTTTCCAATGAAAGACTGAGTCCATAGAGGTGGTTGGCTCAGAGTTAGTCAGTGATGGATTTAGCATTAGAACCCAGGTCTTCTAGCTTTAAGCACATTTGCCCCTTTCATGATGTGTCATTCAGAGACCTGTGAAGAAACCAATGGCATAGTCAATTGGGTAATTAAGAAAATTTTAATAAAAGTGGGCAGAGTAGGAAGCCAAGTACCATAAGTCATAAAAAAATATGGAGAACTGTTATGCCCCTAGGCTTGAGGGGGATAAGCATTGGAGCAGCAATATAATCCATAAAGAGCAGGGGTACCCCTAGTGTCTTACCCCAGGTGACTGACCTCACCCTTCGGTTGAGGGACACAACCAATCTGTAAAGACCCATCAGCTAGAGCTCAGAACTTGGGAATAAATAGCCCAGCCTCATTCTTCTCCCAAAGGGAAGCTGAAGGTCAAGGGTGCTTATTGATGCAGTTCAAGGAGGTGGGTCCCAGAGGAGTGCAAAGCAGAGAGAAGAAGGGTGGACAGTAGATACGAGGGGCCTGTGGAAAATACTCAGCACAGTTGCCTTCTAAAGGAGAAGACCAGTTCTATCATTGCCCTTATATCAGCTTCAAATCAGCAATCACTTGAATGCCTGAAGTTACAGTTTTAAAAACTATTATTATACAAATAATA